TCCAATATGAGAATGTGATTGAGTGAATTTCTTATGACTAATGTAAGTCATAACGAGTCATAAGGTCATAACCTATAATTAGCAAAGGGATTATGATGAGTCATAGGCCAACATTGCTTTTAACAGATTATATGACATTCAAAAGATTAAATTTGATGTATTTCAAGCAAACTGGTTAAATGATAAACGATCAATCTTAGATCACACACAATTGCATATACTATCATGTTTGGTTGTGCTTAAAGTTTTGTTTAATCCTAAGAATTCATTAGATTTGTTGAACAAGTAAGCTAAAATCTTAATATTATTAATCCATATTCTGACTAATATTAATGTTGTTATATATCTTTATTCATTTTGCAAGTTTACAGATCAAATGCGAATATAAAGTGATAAAACAGAATAACACAATTTACAACTGCTGATAAATTTATGATATTATTTGGAAGTACAATCAATAATAAAGATAATAATGAATTTAATCCTAAAAGAAACTATTGATATGGCAAGTGTACAAATTGTAATCGATTTATTACTTCAAAAAATTTGGGTATCATATGATCTTTATAGAATAGCTTGGGATGGATAAGTGGTAATAGAGATATTGATGATTGTATTAAGAGTTTCAACTTAATGTTAATTAATGTAAGAAAGCAACTGAATGGATTCTATCTGAAAAATTAAGTATTATTAAAAAAATTAATAAAAGAAGATTCATTAGTATATTTTTAGCCAATTTGCAGTCAATATTTTACCTGAATCAAGAAAAAAAGAGTAATATAAAGTTACAATTTAATTATTTGCCTATAATGTATAGTATTTCTAATTTACATAAAATTTATTTTTATTAGTTTAGAAGTCATATGCATTGCAGGTTAAGTGGTAGCAGGCCTGTAGTATATGGATTAACTCAAAATACAAATGTACAAAGGTTACCATGTTTTGAAAGAAAGTTACACATAATCATACTCTAAAAAGATAACGTGTAATATCAAACATGGTATATATACACTTTTTGTAAGAAGATTTTTATTATAAGTTTTATTATGTCTTCTAGAAAAAGATCCAGTAAGCAGATAATTAATATCTTAAAATTTTTTAAAAAATTTTTATTAAATATAATAAAAAATTTATAGATGCAAAAAAAAAAACTAATACCATACCAGTATTGCCTAGAAGAATAACACCTATTGGAGTTCGGACACACAATTCTATTAGTACATTATTTATTTGTTATTTATTTATTAATATGCATGCATTTATAAATTAAATACTCATTTTCTTGATATTATGGGGAAACAATGCATATCTAGGTTCTGTTTCCAGAGC